AAATGAATCATTATTAACATCAAATCGTAAACGTACATCAACAGGAAATTCTCTTGAAAATTCTAAAATTAAGAAAATATGTTTATTGGATGCATCCAATAGATCAATTATTGATGAATATGATGAAATGAATACACTTGATGAATCAGCTCTTCAAATGCTTGTAAGATTACAAAAAAACAAAAAAGAATTTTCGATTGTTTAAATATTTTGAAATATAATTGTTTTAATTTTATAATAGATATTTAATAATTTTCTATTTGAAATATTTTAGTGTGAAGAATGGGAACCACGATCACAATTTCCAACTTTACTTACTCGAGTTGCTGGTCTACTTGATAAATATCGAAATATTCAATCATTTCATAGTAATAAAATTGTAAAATTATGAATTATATATATATATATAATCGATTCTATATAGATTGGCAAAAAAAATGTCTTGATTTACCAGCTCGTCGAAAAAATCAAAATCTTATTTATACACTTCCAACAAGTGGTGGCAAAGTTTGTTGAAAATGTTTAGATTGTTTTTTTTTCTCTTATATAAAGTATATTAAATTTTTTCTTTAGACATTAGTTGCTGAAATAATGATGCTTAATTGTTTACTTCATCGACATCTTGATGCTATTTTTATTTTACCATTTGTTGCAGTTGTTCAAGAAAAAGTAATATATATATATATTTCTTTTTTTTTGTTTGTTATTTTGAATTATTTTTACTATGATCATCTAGGTTCGAAGTCTTCAACCATTTGCTGATGAACTTGGTAAATTAGAAACAAAAAAATTCATCGTATTCATTAAATATGTATTTCTATTAGGTTTTCATCTTGAAGAATATGCAGCAAGTAAAGGACGTTATCCACCAATAAAACGTCGAATGAAACGATCACTTTATATTTGTACAATTGAAAAAGCTAATTCATTAATTAATAGTTTAATTGAAAATCATCGTATGAATGAATTAGGTATTCTTGTTGTTGATGAGGTATATTTTTAGATTCAACAAAATTTTTTTCTATTATTCTCACATTCAAATAGAAAAAAGAATAATAATTTAAAAGTGTAAAAACATCTACGATTATCAGACTCATAATACTCAATGATGCGTCAAGATTGATTACATTAATTTAAGTTGAAGAAATTTTTCGCTTCAAGCAAAATTCTTCATTAATGCTCAGCAGAACGACATAATGTCGAGCAATCTGCTTTGATCCTATTAGAAGTATTTTGGCTTTTTGAGATAATTCCTATATATCTTGTACTAGATGGAAAAATCAGTAAAATGGTCATAATCTTCGTAGGATTTTTCTTAGAATACTCTCCCCGACATATGGACAAAATATCATTGAAAACGGCGTGGATCAGTTAGGGACCTTTCCCGGTAAGTACGGAACTGCGGATCCTTCCAGACCTGGATCCGGGTCGAAAGTTTTATTTTTTTTTGTCGAGTCCGAGTCCAACCTTGTGTTTCCCAAATGAGAAATATAACCGCACGTGGAGTTTATTTTCAGAGAGTGGAGAATAAATAGCTAAAACCTTGATCCTCTACTTGTTCATGTACAGGAAGGGTGACACGTATTGGTAGAAAAAACCTCGGGTTTAGACTTAGCTGGGTCCGAGTTCACCAAAATATGGATTCGTAGCTCCCTAATACTAAGTCTTTATAGAAAGAAAACTTTTTACGGAGATTAATGAAGGGAAATTGGGCTCGAGTCGAAATTCTGATCGCCCAACAATAATTTAATGAAATTTTATGTTGAAAAATCAGATCTTACGTATTCAAGAGAAAGAACCAATTTAATCTCATTGAGTTTGACTTTTAAGTAATATAAAATCATTCGTCGTCCAACTAGTTTCATACTTCAGAAATGATTTATCACTTTTGAACACATGTTTTGAACATATAGAGAAGATCTTGAGACTAGAATAATTCTAAAAGAATTCGGTTCGATTTGCCTTCCTATTCTACAGAGTATGCAAATGTTGCTAGAACTGAATAAAATATTATTAATCTGAAATTGTTGTTTATAATTAAAATCAACTAGATTATCGAAATAATTAGAACAAAAGAAAAAAAATAAAAGAATGAGAATTTTCAAGCGTTGATTATTTCAAGAACGAAACAATTTACTATATTCATAGAATCACAAGACTTACTAATAGAGAAAATTTCAAGTCAAATCCTTTATTCAATATTTCTATTCAACAGAAAAAACACCTATCATTGTTCTGTTGAAACATCATATGGATCTGAATCATTTTTTGAGTTATGAACTATGTTTTATTTATGTTATAGTTACATATGATCGGTGAAGGACATCGAGGAGCTACACTTGAGTGTCTTCTTACTAAAGTACGATCATTTACACGTAAGTTATATAGATAATAGCATAAATCTATTAGTATAATTTGATTTATATGTTTAGCTCAACCACAAATTATTGGTATGTCTGCAACATTAGCTAATATTGATGATTTACTCACATTTCTTAATGCACAATTTTATGAAGAACGTTTTCGACCAGTAAAAAAAACAAAAAATAAAAATATGTAGAAAATTTTCACGTTCGATTTTTATTAAAATTTAGGTAGAACTTGAAGAATATGTTACAGTAAATGATATCGTATATAAAATTAATCGAAATAATTCCAATGATAATAATCAATTAATTGAACATCGACAATTGGATTTTAAAGTTTGTTAAATAGATTTTTCTAGAAAAAAAAAAAAATCTATATAAAATTTTAGTATACAAAACAACATTTATTAAATGATCCTGATCGACTTGTTGGTTTGGGTAAGTTAATAAAGTTTTTTTTTTTTTTTTGGTTTAACAATTAAATTATTCATATTTGATTTAGTTTCGGAAGTTATTCCAAATGATTCATGTCTTGTTTTTTGTCCATCAAAAATTAATTGTGAAAATGTTGCTCGATTAATTGTTAGTTTTATGCCTGAGTAAGTTTTCTTTTTTATTTCATTATTTTTCTTCAAATTATTTATAGAAAATTACTTGATGATAATCGTGAAAAACGTTCAATTTTACTTGAATCATTGGTTGAAGTTAATGAAGGTAATCTATGTGATACACTTAAAACAACAATTCCATATGGTGTTGCTTATCATCATAGTGGTTTAACAGGCGATGGTAAATACTATTTATAATCTATCGATTATATTATTATTCTTTTATTAGAACGTCAATTAATTGAAGAAGCATTTCTTGATGGAATTTTAACATGTTTAACATGTACATCAACTCTTTCAACTGGTGTTAATTTACCAGCAAAACGGTAGAGTTTTTTTTATATGAATAATAGATTCACTTCAAATTTTCAGAGTTATTCTTCGATCACCTTATGTCGGTAGTCATTTTTTAACTTTTGCACAATATAAACAAATGAGCGGTAGAAAAAAAATATCTCTTTATATCTATTTAATAATTTTTTTTGTATGAAAAGGTCGTGCTGGTCGAACAGGTCAATCTCAAACTGGTGAATGTTATGTAATTGCTCATGAAAGAGATATGAAACAAGTAAATTTTTTTTTAATGATATTTTGTCCAAAAAAAAAATTTCATTCTTTTTTTTAGCTTCGAGAAATGTTATTTACTGTAGCTGAAAATACTACTGGTTGTGATAGTCATTTATCTATAAATAATAATTATGCAATTAAACAACTTTTATTAAATGTAATTAGTCTTAAAGTAAATAAATTTTTTTTGATTTAATATTCTTAATAGATTAATTTTTTTTTTTATTAATAATTAGATATGTTCAACTTATGAATCATTATTAAATCTATTACAAAAGACTCTTCTTGCTTTACAAGCTGATCGTCTTAATGTTAATCTTGAAAATTTACTTGATGAATGTTTACAATATCTTGTTGATACAAAAATTGTGCATGCTAAAGAAGACGAACGAGCAAGTAATAATAGTAGTAATGGAAAACTAAAAAGATTTATTTATGAAACAACAAAATTAGGCAAAGCAACTGTTGAAGGTTAATATAAAATTGTTGAATTTTATTTGAAAAACATTTCACAATAATTGATTACATTATTTCTTTAGGTAGTGTAGAATTAGGATTAGCTAATTCACTTTACAATCACTTAAGAACAAGTTTGATTAATATGAATTTGGAAAATCCATTACATTTACTCTATGTTACAATGCCATTTGAACTACCTAATATAACTATTGGATTTCGTCAACTTGTTGATCGAGTATGTCAATGAAACAGTTTAAC